TAGCCACCCTCCCTGCCCTGCTCTTAAGGTGATATCTGCCCATTTTACCCATTTATAAATCTCTTCCCCACTCATATAGCTTTTTAAAGAAGTACAAGAGCCCCATATCTAAGATCACTGCTGCTCCCCTTTATCCTGATCCAGACTACAGGGATGAACTGACTTATGCTTCAGGTCTGTTGGCATTTTTGATGAGAGCTGAAATATGGGGGATGATTCTGGCTGCAAGTCAAAGCCCACCCGTGCCTTTGGGCACTCACCTTGTAGCACAGACATGCTCAAAATAAGAAGATTCTTTATAAAATGTTACCTTAATAACATGGTCCTCCCCTGGTGCCGCTGTGTTTCCATAATGCTCCACTCCACAGCTAAGCAGGCTTGGGGAGATGGGAGGGTGGGCAGGAGCAGGGAAGGGAGAGGGAATCCTTTTTATTGCACACTTTATAAATGCTGCAGTGCTCAAATTTTCCAGCCAAGCATTTAAAGCCTCCTGACCCCCACAGCCCCATATGAAATACCCAAGCTGAAGCACATTGTACTGACTCAAACTGTTCCTCAAAGCCCTGGCAGCTCCTGGTGCCCAGGATCTGTCAGGAGCCTGTTGGGCATAGTCTTGTCTCCCTCCCATTCTCAGCCCAGCACTGTGAGGGGCACTCACAAGGCCAGAGCTGCCCCTAGCCTGTCCCTCCAACCACAGTGGGACTGTGAGCCATGGTCCTGGTTTATCACCATGACCACCAACAGTTGGGGAGGCAGTCAGGCCAAGTGTGCTTAGAAAAAAAAAACCAAGAAACCTTTTCTTTTGTGTCTTGCAGTGCACAAATTGATTCAGGCTGGTGACGCTCAGCTTCTGGAGAGCTAATCCTGCCTCTGGCCCAGCAGGTACAATTTGCAGTTTGCATCCTCCCAGGGCAACAAGACGTGAGCTCACAGGCTGCTGAGGCACCCGTGGTACCACAGGGCACTGCCATGGTGAAGCATTAGTGCTACTGCAAGGCTTTGTGCCCCTCCAGGCATCCCCTGTGATGGCAAGGACCTGGGCTGGCACAGCCACAGGCACTCCCTTGGCTTCTTCCCTAGACTCAGCAGAGCCCCATCCAACCAAGCAAAAATTAAAAAAAAAAAAAAAAAAAGAAAAGAGGAAAAGCAGAAACCAAACAAATAAATAAAGGAGCAAACGCAGCACTTGACTCCAGAGGCCTTTGCCGTGGGAAGAAGCTGTCCCAAAGTGGTGTGTCATCAGCAGCACAGCAACCCAAACAATCAGCCCCTCTGTGCTCTGTGCCAGCTGCAGCCCGGCCGGGTGAGGGTGGTGGGGAACAATGGCCGTGGGGACAATGGGGATTGTTCAGGCTCCCCCGGAGGGAACAGCCCCATGCAGCCCTGGGAGGGGACCTGCAGCTGTCACCAGCTCTGAGCTGCCAGACAAGTGGCAGATTTGGGGTGCCCTTCAGAAGGGCGTGTGCCCGTTGAGACACTCAGAGGATGCTGGAAGCAGCAGTGAACATGTCTGTTAAAAGGGCATGTGAAGCTTCTGCAGAGAAACCATCTCCTGGTGCTGAGTTGGAGTTTATGGGATGCTGAGGGTGCATGGATAGGGGGGTTCAGGCTGTGCAGGGAGCAGTGAACACCCTGCACATACCCATGGCTGCTCTATCAATGCTGTTACCTGCACACGCACTCACTGCAAAAGCACAGGGAGAAGGTTCCTCCTTTTGACCTGAACTCATCCTAAAGCTGGTGACTCCATCCAGGAGCCTTTGATGCCAAGTTATGCATCCCAGCCATGCTGTCAGGGAAGTTATTTCAGCTTTTCAAATGGATGTGCATAGTTTATCTATTAAACCTGGACAATGGCACATTTTTGTCCCTCTTCCCCACTCACCTTTCATGTTTCATAGACCCCTTGGTGCTCTCCCCACCCAGGACAGCATTGCCCATGCTCTGCCAAAGCCCAGTAAGTGGCACAGCAAAGTCGGGGTATGGGTTGGCAAGAGGGAATCATCTCTTGGGGCAGCAGCATTTTGCTTTGGAGCAAGGATCCCTTCTCCCTAAGGGAGCCAGAGGAATAGCAGAGGTGTGGGGGGTGAAGGCGGGCAGGGGGGAGGGTGAGTACACCACGGGCATGGGTCCATCTGCCAGCATTGCTGGGCTGTGACTACAACTGTTTATCTTGAAAGCCAGAGGGTTACATTCTGCAAAGTTTCCAGGGAGAAAATACAGACCCTTCCTTTCAGCTGTGTGCCGGAGGATGTGTAACCTCGACGAATTCCTCGGTTTTGTTTGGCTTGGGTACTCCGTGCCGGGGTAGCATCACCAGCCAGGGGCTCTTCTGGCTTTGATCTGGGAGCTAGGTGTGCTTCTCAACAGGTTAATGGCCCCCAGACTCCGCAGCCTTCCTTCCCAGGAGTCTAGACTCTTCCACCTGCTCTGTACATATTAACACAGGCTTACACACAACTCCCTCTGTACACAACAGCCAGTCTCACCAAGGATGCGAAGCAAAGCTCCTCAGCAGCCTTCCAAGGTAAGCATTAAGCCCCTGCAATGGACACAGCTGCAGTGTGGATCCAAAGGACAACCAGCCTGTCCCTGTGCTGCTCCTGTTATGTTCCCACTCAGTGCTACCACAGTTGAAGGTCTCCTTTCCATCACCATCTGCAGCAAAACAGGCTTTGCTGCAGGCTTTGCCCCTCTGTGAGGGATGGGGATCCCAGGTGCAAAACACACCACTGTGGGGGAGCTCACAGTGTCAGAGCGGATAACAACATGCTGAAGGGCATCCCGCCAGCTGCCTTGTATTTTGGTTGGCATGTCCTGTTCCTAGTCCCTAGCACCACACTCCTGATGGCCAGGAATCCCAGGGGTAGCATTACCCCAGTCACACCTAGGGCTGCCTCCAGTCCCGTCAGCAAACACAAGCAATTTGTCCGTCAGGTCGGTCAACACTGCAGAGCTGCTCCCCATCGCTGCACGGGGCTTCCAAGAGAAATGAATCATCCCCGAGCAAAGCAAACAAAAACAAAATAAAACACCGTGTTTGTAAAGTGTGGGGAAAGGCATGGCTGAGGGCCAGAGCCTTGAGAAAACAAGGCAGCTTCAAAGCACCTGGAGGTGCACCCGGTGTGAGCAGCAGGGACGGGACGGGACGGACCAGCCGGGCTCTGTGCGGCTGCTGCTGGTCCTGGCAGCCCTGGCATGTCCAGGGGGACCTGTCCTGCAGGTGATGAAGAACCCACAAGGACCATCCAGCCCAACTCCCTGGCCTTGCATAGGACACCCCAACAATCCCACCCTGCCCCTGAGAGCATTGCCCAAACGCTCTTCGACCTCTGGCAGCCTTGAGGCTGTGACCACTGCCCTGGGGAATCTGTTCAGTGCCCAACCACTGGGTGAAGAACCTTTTCCCAATAGCCAGCCTAACACCCCCTGACACATACTCATGCCATTCCCTCAGGAACTGTCACTGGTCACCAGAGAGATGAGATCAGTGCCTGCCCCTATGCTGCTCCTCGTGAGGAAGCTGCAAACTGTGATATGGTTTCCCCTTGGTCTCCTCTTCTCCAGGTTGAACAAACCAAATGACCCCAGTCATTCCTCATACAGCTTCCCTCTCTCCATCATCTTCGTGTCCCTCCTTTGGACACTCTCCAATAGCTTTAGATCCTTCTTATACTGTGGCACTCAAAGCTGCACATCAGTCCCAGTCAGTCTGCATCAGTGGCTCCAAAGAGAGATTTAGGGAGTTTTCCACCTCCCCATAGTGCACAGTCTGTGTCATGGAAGCACATGAAGTGGGTGGCTCAGTCTGACACCAGTTGGGACACAAGCACAAGGTTTTGCTGTGTTTTGTGGCAGCTCCAACCAAGCAGATGCAAAATTTTCATTCATCTGCAGCAAATCACAGTCATCTCTTTCAATCCCACAACCAACCTCCAAGGCCACCAGTGCCCTCCGAAGGGCAAAATGATGGTTAAGGAACAGCAGCAGCACTGAGAGGCTTTAACACATATGGTGGTGGTGTTGTTCCTCCACGGTCCTCGTGTTCAGTGTGGTACAAGCCTCAGTGACACAGAGATCCATAGCCCAGAGCCCTCAGTGTCACTGTCCTCTCCCTCTCCATCAGAAAAAGGGATTTAGCTTAAAAATTAGGACCTCGGGCAACCTGTAATGCTGTGGAGCTTGCTCCACAGGCTGCAATGTCACAGACAAGTTTCCTGTGAACTCCAGCAGAACTTTGACCAGGTACTGGAGTCCTTCCCAATGCACATCAATGAAGAGATGTAACCAAAGACAGGGGGAAAAAAAGCAGTTTGGATGAAACAATCAGAATTATTTGAGTGGGTGCAAATCAGGCAAATAGGTTTAGCTCAAGAAGAAAAAGTTCTCTGGCTGAACTTCCTCCACATCAAATCCTGCACCTTTGTTTGGTTTCAAAACATTTTCATTTTGAAACTCACCTCCTGCTTGTTTGCTTTGACGCTAAAGGGTTAAATAACCTGAAAAACTAAACAAAACTATTTGCTTTGGGCTGACTAAACTGATTCATTCAATCCACACCGTTCCCCTTTCCCCCTCCAGGTTTGTTGTTTTGCTTTAAAAAGGAAAAAGCAATAGCTTTGAGCTGATCTGATTTTTGGTTTTTTCCTCTCTCACCCTCCTGCACTTTTTGGTTTGGCTACCAGGCTGAGAAATCCATTACCCACAGGGAGCCTGGGCCAGCCTAACCCACATCTGACAGTAAAAGAAACCAGATTCTCCATGTCGTTTTAGCCCCTGGCTTTCTTCTTGGGCTTTCCCACACGCCTCCAGCTCCCACTGGGACCAGTGGCTGAACTGGGTGTTGGGGTGGGAGAGGACCCTGCGCGAAAGGCTGCCCTTTTCCCTCCTTTCCATGCATCCAGCTCTTGGGGTCCCACATCCCAGCGCAGGGACTGCTGTCGGTGATGACCTCCCCGGGGAGACCACGCGAGGGAAAAAACACCAAGGAGGCAGCGAAGATGGACTTAATATGAATCTTTAATGCACAGAACAGGCTGCCGGGAGCCTTGCGAACGAAGGCTGCGCTCGGAGCCGCTCCGCCGACTCGGAGTGCTACAAAAGCCCAGCTTGCCTGCAGCGTCCTGACACCTGCCTGGCATCCCTTCTGGGACCCTCTCTGGCAGTGCGGTGTCACCGGCCACCCACGCCACCTCCTCCTGGCGTCCTCGGCCACCACAGCACCGGGGCCCCTCGCCCCACAGCTCCTGCCCGGTGGCAGGGCAGGCAGGGCAGGCAGGGCAGGCAGGGCAGGCAGGGAGGGGGTCACCCTGCACCCAGCAGCTCCCCTCTGCCTGGCCCTGGCCTCGAGTGGGTATCTCCTCCTCCCAGGGTTTTGGAGCATGTGTAGTCCAGGAAATTCAGTAAGAAAAGATTAAAAAGGAGAGGCTTTTACGCTGAGTCAAATTAGGTAATTTCTTTTTTTTTTTCTTTCCTTTCCTCTTTAAAAAAAAAAAAAAAAAAAAAAAAAAGGAAAAGAAAAGAAAAGCAAATCCAACTTGCTGATTTCTTGTTTCTCTGCCGTCTGTGTGAGAAAAGTCCTGTTTGGCCTCGCTGTCCCCTTCCACCCCCTCTGAACATCACCCGACCCCAAACCCCACCAGCCACTCAGCACACTGAGTCCTCGACTCCTTGGAGTTCCTTTGCCTCCCACAGCTCCAGGCCCGCACCTTCCCTCACCGCCCCTTGGACTCCCCGTACGTGTTGCGCAGCATGGAGACCATCTTCTCCTCGCAGGTGACTTTGGTGTCCTTTAGGATGCTGTACCAGACCATGCCGGGCGGCCGGACCTCTTCGCTGCGGCAGAACAGGTAGGGCATGGTCTCGGTGCGGCTCTGGATGTAGGCACTGCGTAGCAGGGTCGAGCAGTGGCTGCTGACCTTCTCCAGCCTCCTCAGGATCAGGTGAGCCTTCCTGGAGGGGACAGGCAGAGATGGAGACAGAGCAGTGTGTGGGCAATGCACAAGGGAGACCAGGAACCGGGACTTCTGCATTCCACCACCAGCTCTGTCACATGACAAGAATGGACAAGACCCATTGCCTGGCACTGTCTTTCCTGTTTCGAGTGGAGAGAAGCTCTGTTTTTCCCAAAGTTCTGCATATGTCTACGATTTCACAGCCCTGGGGCTGGAGGGACCTGAGGTCTGGACAGCTTGTGTGCCCTGGGGACACTCTACCCCTTGCTTGATGGTTGCCACCACCATGTGCTCCTGGTGGGCCCCAGTGCATGTGCTGGCCCCAAGAACCCTGGTGAGACCCCCAGCACTTTACTGCTCCTGACTGATGAGTCCTAGTGAGACCCCCAGCACCCTACTGCTCCTGAGTGATGAGCCCAGTGCTCCCTTTCCTGTTTTCCCAACTCTCCAGGAGGCAAACAGGATTGACACTTAGAAGAGTGAGGAAAAAAAAAGCACAACACATTAAGAACAAAACAAAATAAACCCATAAGAAACCAAGAATCCCCTTGTGGGAGTCTGCAAAGTGCTAAATCAAACAAAGGGAGGGAAGAGGGTTTACTTCAGTGGTCTGAAAGTCTCAAGATCACAGAATATTTCCTCTCCCTCTGGTGCCACAGGAAAGCTCTGGACTCAGGGCTAAGGGATTTCGCAGTTCCTGCAGGAATGTAAATTCCCGATAATGATATGTCAGGGGCAGCACTGTCAGTCGGTGAGGCATAAACATGGGGATTATTTGATTATGAAAGCTGAGTAGTGTTGCAGTCCGTTGAGCTCCCAGCCGTGGGGGGAGTGTCAGAAGCCCAGTGTCCAGGGGTGGGATGCCAGGGAAGGGCTGGTCAGGGTCACCCCAGCGCCAGAGCAGAGGGCAGACACGGTGGCAGGAGGTGACAGGGCACCCCGGCATCCCCAGCCAGCTGTGGACCTCTCCCTCCAGAGTGGCAAGACTGGATGAAAGGCTGTAGGAAACCACTGCTCCTCCGGGGCTTCACAGGGAAAACAGTCCTGCTCCTCCCTGGGGTGATGTGCTCCGGGTCAGCTTTGAGAAGGCAAGAGCAAAGGGAGTTGGCCCTTCTTGGACAACGCTCCCTGATGTCCATGCATGGATTTAATCTATAAAGACAAGCCAGACTAGGCAATGCAAGCCTCATTAGTTACACACATCTGTAATAATGATGTCATGGGCTGAGCTGTGTCCAGCTCTGACACAATAATACCTCTACTCACGCTACTCTCCGTAGCAGCCACCTGACCTTCTGCAGCATCTGGTGCTCCCACTACATGTCAAGACTTGACACACTGCCATGAACAGGTCCTTTACTGCTGGACACGTGCTGTTAAATTCCACAGTGGCATTAGATGATTTTAGTGAAGACTGATTAAAGCTCAGCTCAGCAGCAAACCAAAGCCTGTAGTGATTGTCACTACAGTTACCAAACTTCAAGAAATCACAGTGACTGTGGCTGAAAGGGACCAAAAGTCATCACCTGTGCCACTTCCTGCTGGGATCAACCTGCCTTGATGATTTTCTGTCTGACCTGATCCTAGAGCCAAGAGCTGGAGTTCCTTCTAGTGTTTGCCCTTCCTAACGCCGAGAAATCGTTTCTTAAAATTTGTGCTGATTCTCCCTTTTTTTCAAGGAAGGCTGAGCAAGGACAGAACCCAGACACCTCACAGGATGGACTTTTATGTAAGCTAACTGTGCCCAGGAGAACATTTAGCCAGAATACCCTTTTCCTCACAGAAGAAAAATCTCATCTCTCTAAGGCCACAGCTCCACGGTCACCCTGATTTATCCTTAAATACCTCTACTGCCAAAACTGGGTCTCGACCCTTCCCCAGCCCATTTGGTTGTGCTTGTGCCAGTGTCCACAGACCTGAATGCTGTGCCTACATGGGGAAGTTGTCCATCCAAAGGCCAAGCAAGAAACCCATGGATTTTCCCCCCAAATTAGTTGCTATTCCAGCACACCACAAGGCCTTTCCCAGCCACAGCAAGAGGGGAGGGACGATGAGTGCCCATGACCAACCCTTGAGGCAAACCCTCCGTGGTGGGTTAACCATGACTCACCCCAAGGACACAAGGAAGGGATGTCCCAGCACACACCTGCAGGTCACAGGTCACACTCTGCTCTTCTCCTCCCTTCTCACTACTTCTCCTTGTCTACCATGCACAGCTTTCCTCACCCATCTCTCACCTTTCTCCCACACAACCTGCCTTTGCCTCTGTTTCCCTTGGCCTTCTCTACCTTCCCATTTTCATGACTTGCTCCATCATACTTCCATGATCTTCTGAATTTTGCTAAAACTCACCACGTTGTCCTTGCTGCCTGATACATACTCAGATCTCTTTATCCGGGAAAATGTTATTAGGTATGACAAGCAGCTCAAGGATGGCAAGAAGTTCAGGGTCAAAGCACCCCAACCTGCTGATGTCTCCTGTGCCAGAGGTTGGGTTCCTCATGGAGCTGGTCACACCTACTGCATCTGCAGCTATGCTTGCTGTAGTTCATCCCAGGAAAGAACCCATGTTTAAGGGATGTAGCACACGATGGGTTGGCCCCATGAGGATGCTGAAAAAACAGGGAAACGTGGTCATGGAGGAGACAGAGTGATGGGGGAGCAGGAATCAGGCCCCTTGCTTTTGAAGTCCAGTGCCAAAGCCCCAATTTTGATGCGTTTCACTGCTTTGAGTAATTTATTTTAGCAGGGTAATGAAGTCGTGCAAATGTTAGATTTAGTTTTCGGCTGTCAGCTGTTCCCTCTCAAAAAAAAAAAACAAGGAGAGAGACAGAGCGGGTGAGGGGAGGGGTGAGAAAGAGAGAGAGGATTTCTGGTGAAGACTGGCCAATAAATTACGGGAGCAGTTTTTGGGCTGCCAATTTAACACCATAAATCAAGCCCTGGGTATTACCCAAGTGCTCCCTACGGAGGGCTGTCGGGTCAGAACGACCACCTTTTCAAATACTGGAAATGAAATCTTCCTAAATGCTGACCAACCTCATCCCTGCCAGAAATGGCAATTTATTGCCTTATTAAGGGGCAGGAACTGGGAGGGGATGGCAGGGGAGTGAGTGAGGGGGTGTCACTCTCATGGCTGCCTGTGGCCAGACCCTAATCTCTCAGTCCCCAGAGGGATGAAGTGACCCCCTTACCCCCCACCCCACAGCCCAGGGGACAGATCAGCAGTGCCCTCCCACCTGCCAGGTGCCCACTGGTTGGTGCCAGCCAGGGACTGATTCTGGCCTCCACTTGGTGGATTTAGGAGGTCAAAGCACAGTCACAGATGATGAAGGGGAGCATTTAAAAATAGTGATGGCTCTTTGCAGCTACTTTCCTCTGTGGTGCCTCATGGCATGGTGGGGGAGAGGAAAAGGGAGGGGACAAGCATCTGCTGATGGGGCACTTCCCAAGGGCTCATGCATGAACCAATGACCCCACTTTAAGGAAGTGCAGTGCAGTGATTGCACAGGGGACAGGGCACTGAGATCTCTGAGACATGTTGCCTTCTGCTCTGCCCAGTGCCAGGGACGCTCCTGATGGGATGTTTGTCCTCCAGCTGCACAGGGGACAGCTATCTCTCACCTTGATGGCTGGTGTGGGATGAAAACACATCCAGAACCAGCCAAACCCAGCCCTATCTCACCTAGGAGGAAGGTACTAAAAGAGCACCAGCCAGCATTAAGAAACAAAGAAATGATACCTGGGCTGGAGGGAAGGATGAGATTCCTGGGACTGCTACAGGGAGAGGGTGGCTCCCTGGCTGCTGTGTTCCCATATGGGGTGATTTTGTCATACATTCAGCTTTTTCCACTCTACTGAGAACTGACCCAGGTCTGCCAGACCCTCATGTGGGAGGACAGTGAGTCCAGGACTTGATGGCCTCTTATCACAGCCTCCCATCAGAACACTGCATTCCCCCATCTAGCAGAAGGCAGCTGCTCTGGAGATGCACTTCATCTCCTTTGTCCTGTGGCTGCCTGTCTGGGCCACTGGTTGGGGCAGAGGAGGGTTTGTGAGCCCTGGGCTGATGTCAAGTCCTGACCCCGTTGTTGCTGGTAGCCACAAGTATGAGCATGGAAACAAGATTTTAACTTAATTATTTATCCTGGCTCCTCCTAAAAAACAGAGCCCGCTTGCAGTGGTCATAAGAATCATGCTGAAAACACAGCAAGGGAAAATAATAGTGCAATCTGCCCTTGGCTGTGTCAGGAAGCACGTTGGCTGCACAGATCCAAAGGCCTGGATGCACAGTAGCATTAAGCCTTCACTGGTTCAGACAGATTCTTCTGTCTTGTTGGAGCAAATTAACTCTGTGAGATTCACTCGGTGTTTGTGAGAGGAATAGGGGGGAGCAGGAAAGGGGCTGTTGTTGCTAAAGGAGACGAGCAGGATGAGGTAAGCCAGGTGCTGAGATGCTGCTGACCACAGAAAGTCCTGGTTTAGGGCCACCTATGAGCTAAGTTTTTAATGTCTCCTTAATGTAAACGGTCTGGTTGGGACATCTGGCTGTCAGTGTGTCTTCTTGCCAGCAGCTGTTTGCAGTAACCTGTGGCTTTCATGGAAACTGGGCTCACGAGGACTCCAGTGTGATGTATTTATTACACGGAGGCAAATCAACTTCCCTCTCGTCGCTCCGTTTTACGAGCGAACGTTTACTGTGAACTGAGGCTCATCTGATAAACATTTCAAGGTACAAAAATGAGTGTCCCCCTGGGAAGGAGAGCAGCCTGTCAATTAAAATCGTGTTACGACATGGCCCCTCTCGGCAAAAAAAGAATCCTCGCTGCCTCCTGCTATGTCAGTGCCTCTGTTTCTGTGCAAGCTCCCTGAGAAGCCAGGCTGGGTGGCAGAGCTTTGCTCTTGTCACGAGCCTGGCACTGGCTGCTGTGGCATTTATAGATGCTTCTCCTTGGCTGCAAGTCCCATATTTCTCAAGTGCAGAGCAGGGGCACAGGAGTGCTGGGAGGGGCTCCTGTGGCTTGATGAGGACGACAGACAGCAGCTGAATTGACCACTGACTCCAGATGTAGCTGGTACCGAGTCGGGCAGTACATTTAAATGTCACCTTGCAAGTCCCATGGCCTGATGCAGGTATCGGGCTAGACAGCAACCTTCAGGGGGTTGGATCTCAAGTAACAGGGGAAATAAGGATGTGTAAGAAGAGTCTGATGGTTCCCAGGGATTTAGAAGGAGAGGAACAATTGCAAAGGACAAACAAGCCTGCAGTGTCATCAAAGGAGGAGGAAGGCAACGGGAAGGATGAGAATGGCTCTGTGCCAGAGGCTAATGAACCACCAAAGAAACTATGACCAAGGTCATCTCTGGCAGAGGACAAGCCCCAGACTAGCTTGGATTTATGTCCAAGAGGGTTGTAAACTGTTGTCAGGAGTTGTTATCCTGGTATTACACACAGATCCTCAGCCACATCCAACAGGCAAGGGGGAGAGAAAGAAAAACTTTTCCAGGCCTAAATTATACCCTTTGCCACCCACTCCCCAGTGTTTCCAAGCACCCAGTTCATCCACAGCATCACCAGCCTGGTTCAGACAACCTGTGATACAAACATTCATCCCAAGACCACCCAGCTGCCAGGTGTCCCACCAGCATTCATCCAAAGACCGAGCAGGAACTGGTGGTCTGAGGAGATGCAGGACAGCTTGGTGAACACCAAAAGGGGACTTCTCTCATCTCCAAGGAGGAGGCAGGGGTGTCACATCCACAGTGGCCAAGCAGAGGGGTGCTCTGGGCGTGGGGCAGGGGAGGATGCAGGGAAGGGACAGGTACCTGGGCCCCAGCTCGTCCTCACTGCGCCAGACGAAGTCTCCAAACTTCTCGTAGTGGGAGTTGTAGTGGTGCTGGACTCGGAAGAGCATGGAAGCAGAGACCTCCATCAGTGTATTATAGGCTGTCTGCTGCTCCTTCCCACTGGTGTAGCCATTGTAGAGGTTGTAGATTTTGTCAGCTATCTCTGGAAAGGATCAGGGGATGGGATTAATGAGCAGTCTGAAGGTGCTAACAAGGTAAGAGGAGAAGTGACACCCTTGGCAGGGCTGGCAGCTGGGATGACTGCCAGTCCCTTGGGGCTGCCTGCAGCAGGGTTTAGTGACCTGGAGAGCACTGAACAATTCTTCAGGCTAATCCTGCAGTGGGTGCCCTGCACGAGCAGAGCAGCCCCAAAGACTCGAGCAACAATCCATGAAGGAGCAGGAGAAGGAGAGGCAGAAAGCTGCCAGCACAGGCAGGCACAGCCTTATCCTCCCAGGTAGGGCAGGCAAGCTCTTCCCAAATCCACCAAACCAAAAGCCATTGCACAGCTATGGTGCTAAAGGGCAGGAAGAAAACAACACTGTTGATACCAAGATGGTCCTTCTGCCAGAAATGCAGCACCTCATCATCGTGGGCATCAGCTGGAGCAGCTCAGATGTATTGAATGAGAGGGTGCACTCCCTGCTGTAGAAACATTCTCTTTCCAGAGATCAAAAATGCACAAAAATACATCTCCTTCCTTTTTCTTAGCCTCCCATTTGCTCATTTTTCCTGGGAATGCTTATCTTATTGAACATGGAACAAGGCACGAACAAAAACTTTCTTCTGTGTGCTTTTCCAAATGGAAAGCAAGCAAGGAAGAGAACAGGCAACCTGCTGATCAACTAAGAGAAATCTTTTTAAATCTGAAAGCAGCCAGGTGCTCTGGGCATAAGAACAAACAAATGGGATCTGTTTCAGAACTGAACAATGCAAAGGTGCAAAAGTGGCTGGGTTTTTTTTTGGTGTTTCTGTTTCAGAACTGATCCATCTGCCACCAGCATTCCTTCAAACACCTGGAGGTGATGGTGCCCTGCATGGCTCCTTGCAGCCCAGCCAGGGCTGCTCTCCCACATTTGTAAGAAGGGATCACTCTTTTTCCAGGAAAAGTGTGGCAAACACATGGTACCAGCTCCCACAGTTGATGTGGGAAGCATGCCGTGGCACTGCGTGGCACAGGACCACGGAGCCACCAGCTGTCCAGCCGAGGAAACTTTGCTCCTGGACGCTCCTGCAATTTGTCACCCCTCCCCAGATGAACATCCCTGTGCCCGTGGGTGAATTTACAGGAGCCTTCACACTGGGAGAGGGGGCACTGGACAGGTTTGAGGGAGTACAGACAAGAGAGGAAAATCAAAATTAGCAGGAAATGTCTCCAGTCATGGAAAATGAGGTGCCTGAACACTGACCTTCTGCCTTGCTGTCGTCTACCAGTGGGCAAGCTGTCCTCAGGGTGACCGTGCTCAGCTCTGAGTGTCTCCCTCGCGTATCCACCGCGTAGAGGGTAAATCTGGAAGGCAAGAAGGAAAAGGAAAATAATGTCTTTATCCCTCAGTCCCACACCTCCAGGTTGTTATGGGAACTGGCCTTCAGAAGAGAAAGGAAACACATGGTCCAGGCACTATCAGTCAGTTTTGGCATCTCAAGGAGGATGTGAGATGATCTGGGGCTTAGAACAGGAGAGCACGCAGGGACAGGTGCCCAGACCACCACACCCCCTCACAGCATCTGTGGGGCTCTGTTTCCTCTCCCCCCATCGTGGGGAGCCCCGTGGGGCTGCACCTGCATCTTCCTGACTGGGAAGGGATACAAACATCTCAAGGCTGCTTTGCCATGCACCAATGTGAACATTATAACACGGTGGTGTCTGTGAGTCAGGCTCCTCTCTGGCCCTCCTGAGAGCAGGGCAGTAATTCTCGCTGTAAGTGGGCTGTGTGCTGACAAGTGACAGCTCGTACTCGTCCTGTGAACGGCCCTTGAGTTGTTTGCTCCCTCATTTCCTCACCAGGGTGGGGTTGGTAAAAGGGTGGGAATGATAATTTCACACTTGAAGCTAATGGAGAGCATCTGACAGTAAAATACAGCTTTTGTGCCGGATGGAGCATTGAACAAACAGGCTGTGGCTGCATGGGACATCCTGGGATGCTGAGCTCGGAGTCCTGGTCAGAGCATCAAAGCTCCAAAATGAGAATGCTTCTTCGCAGCAGGGGTGACAATCTTCTGTCCACTCTCCTAAAGGCATCGGTTCATATTTATTCACTCTGAGTCAGGCATGGAAACTCGAGCTGGCTTTGACAAAGTGCAGGAGCTGGTTTGAACCCCTTGGAGGTCTGAGTGGTGGGGTACCCAGCTCCTGAGAAACAGCACAGCACCACTCCTTATCCTAAGGTAAAACCGAGCAGCTTTTGCAACTGAGTGCAAGGAGTAGCATGAAAGCAGCTGAAGCTTAAATGGGATTGAGACCCTGAGGTATGTTTATTTAAGGAATGGTCTTTAAGTCGTTAGCATCCTTGGGAGGGACAGAAGCAATGCCTCCCTTTTCCTCACCCCACACACGAGCACTGCCAGCCCCCCTCTCTCCTCCCTGCAGGCCCTGCACACCCCACATGCGGCTGATAAGGGCTGACATTTGCACAGTAGCAATTCCCAGCACAGGACATATTCCCTCCAAGCAATTAGCATTAGCTCCTTAACAATGCTCGCTGTCTGAAAGGATGCCAGCAGACTGCCAAGGAACCCACTTGTGTGCAGGGACAACTCCCATTCTTACAAAGCTGGGGCACGCAGGGGACGCACACGCTGAGCTCACCCAAGGAGATGCTATTTAATTCCTTGGCATGACATCATTTTCCTTAATTTACCAGGAGCGTTGCTCAGAGTGGGAGCACCTCAGGAAGGACGTCCGCTCTGTGAGACTTCACAAGTACCACACACAGGCTGTTCTCCCGCTATAATTAAGGGACAGACAGAGCAATAGGGTAATACTGAATGCCAAGCAGGAGTCTGACTTCAGGGCTTTGCATCCCACCCTGGAGGTGCCACCATCCCTCCTCCTCCCTTCAGCAGAGGAGATGTTCAAGGGGAGTAAGGAGTGTCCTGCTGTGAGCAGGTAAGGTCCAGGATCCCCCTGTTTCCAGGTCCACAAAGGAACAGGAATGGGGACACCCCGTGTTGGGTGGGGGCCCCCAGCCACAGTAAGATGAGGAACTGGGTTGAGATCCAGGAGTCCTGCTGCCCATCCAGTGTTCAGCAGCAGACAAGGCTCTTGCTCATCAGCATAAGCACAACAAGCAGTAAGAGGACTTAACCTCAGGGTACTGCTGTGAGCTGCTCTCCATCCCCATCCTGGGGTCACCTGCCGAGCCACAGAGGCTGTGTTGTTGTGTTTTCTTTCGTAAAAGGGTGAGCAGAGGTTACACATTAGCTCAGACAGCAAGGCTGGCTCCATTAGCACCGAGGCAATCAGTGCCAGAGCACTTTCCTTGAAAAACAGCAGACTTTTATCAAAACACAATTGTAATATTCAGCAATTAGTGCCCACTTCACCTATTCCATCGCCGGTGGGGTCAGGAGGATTGGTTGGGTGTTAAAGCACATCCACTGCTCTGGGTGATGCTGAAGGCCTGTGTGAGCCCTTTGACTGCACTCTTCCCCTCTGCACAGCTCACACAGAAACAAAGTCAGCTGCCAAGAGCAAGAGCATCTCTACTGGTCAGGCCTGGGTTAAAAAAACACATATCCACAAACAAGCCCTTCATTTCATTGTTTTTACAGATGATATAAGGAACAACCCCCCAAAATGTAAATGGAGTCAGGATCAAAGTGATTTTGATCTGGTCACAAATTCTTTTTGAGAACAAAACCAATTGTTTTCCCTCACCTGAAACCAGTCCTCTTTCAAGAACCTTAGAGGAAAGTTTTTCATCTCCATTCACTCTGAATGAGATGTTTTGGACTCAGCACCAATAACCCAGCTGTGGTGGAGGCTGGCAGCCTGGCAGTACGCAGCCTCTGCACCTCTCCAGCTCCTTCCAGTCAGTGATCTCAGAGGGTTTTAACATTAATTACAGTCCAAAAAGTCACCCAGAAGCACAGCAGTATTAATAGCTCTGTTTTATCGATGGTAAACAGAGACATATGGGGTGAAGCATCGTGCCCTGGAGAGGCTCAGTGACATGAACAGTTTGGAAACTCGGGAGATGATGGTTTCCAATCTTGTTCTCGAGCCACTTGACCACCCAGCCTCTGCTGCAAAACACTTTTATGGCCAGTTAATGGCACTGTGCAGAGTGCTGGGGTTTAGTTTTGTTCTTTTATTCCCGGAAACAGACAATTAAGAGAAGAGAGTGCAAAGACCTGTGTCTCAGTGCAAACCCAGCATTCACATCTTGCTGGAAACCTCTGGCAGATGCAGGCGAGGAGCTGCCAGCAAGGACAGGATCAACCTGGGACCCAACAGGGCATGAAGAGGGTGGCTGGGGGGAGGAGGGACCACCACCACACTGGAGAGGTGGGGATGCCTTAAACTGAAGGAGGGCAGATTTAGATTGTGTATTAGGAAGAAATTCTTTACTGTGAGAGTGGTAAGGCCCTGGCACAGGTTGCCCAGAGAGGTTGTGGACTCCCCATCTCTGGAAGTTCTCAAGACTAGGTTGGATGAGGCTTGGAGCAACCTGGTCTAGTAGGTGGCATCCCTGCCCATGGCAGGGGGGTTGGAATGAGATGATCTTTAAGGTCCCTTCCAACCCAAACCATCCTGTGATTCTGTGATTCTATGTCTGCAGGACAAACCAAGGGAAAACCTAAGTGAGCACGCTGAGGGAGGGAGCTACACTGAGAACATGGGGGGCTGGAGTTCAGCTCTGCAGGTCTCCGTGGAGATCCTCCTGCCACCCTTATATCTATTACACTGCTGTGGGCCAAGGACCAAACCAGGCAGCACCCCCACTGATGAGGATGGAGCTGCACTTGAATAGGCCTACCCTGATGATCTATGAAAAAATGAGGCCAAAGAGTGGTTCTGAGCACTTTGCCCAAGGCAGAGATCCCTGGGGTGAAGTCAAAGCCAGAAATCAAAAGGTCCCAGACCTACACTCAGTGCACAAAACCACGACAGACAACCTGGAATGCCATATGGTACGATCTGGCAGAGCCTCCTGCATAACCTGGAGGCGATTTGTTTAGCAATAAACTTTCCTCACGACATTTTCTCATCTTCTCCCTGTGCTTTCCAAAGGAGCTTGGGGGCTCCCTGCTACTGTCTCACAGCTGATCCTCTGTTTCACCCATGCCTTCCTCACAAAGAGCTGTATTTCCAGAAATAAAAAGATATATTTTACCCAAAGAGGTTCCAAAGAGGTCCAAACACATATGCTCTTGGCAGAGATCAGCCCTCCATGCCTGGAAACTCTGTCACCTCTGCAGCAAATACAGTCCTATAAAGTAATGCTGCTTAAATGTTTACTACTAAATTCAAACCTATTGGGACCTGAAGGAACTTTCAGAGAGAGATAGAAACCAATTAACATGTGGTTTCATTAAATGTCAACACCTTCCTTGTAGATCCCCCACCCAATGTTGGCTGAAGCCTGAATTTTATCACTAGGCTCAAGATGCTTTTTGGGGGAGGAGGAGAAAGCAGAAGGGGGAGTTAAAACTTTGGTTCCTGGAACCCAATGATTGTGGAGATTGCCAATTGCGTTTCAATAAATACAAAAAATAGAAAAAAATACGTTTCTATCCGTTCTTCATGCAGAGAAAATAACCCAAAATACAAATTTATAAAGGCATGAAACCGTAAGGCTGCGAATGAAAGCTCAGAACATGTTATTTATTTATAGACAATAACGTCAGCTCATGTTTTTTTAACTCCCTCTCATGATGCTCATGATGGTTGAGTGCTTTACTCATGATCCTTATTTGTGGGAAGGGAGATAAGGACTTCTGCCTCTGACCTTCCTTAGTTCGGCAGCTGATTTCTTTATATCCTGCAGAGATACCACAGGCCTTTCTGGTCTGCCTTGTTTGCTCTTTCTGAAGCCTTTGGGCTTGTGCAGCTGCTCAGTGAGATGCTGAACCACAAACGGGCTGCCTGGGCTGCAGAGAAAGGGTCTGATAAGGAGTTCAATTAGCACTCCCACAGATGCCAAACCCCCATGCTAATTAACTGGGTGCCTATGAGTAGCTGGCTGCATCCAGAAGCAATGCCTGTGTGGCAAAGCCGGGCTGTGCCGTGTAAATGGGGAGCAGGGCAGAGGCGCTGCTCCGGAGCCCGGTGTCACACAGAAACACGGTCTCAAGCTTTCCGAAGTGGTGCAACCACAAGATGCTCTTGCCAGTAGGGCTTGGCTTGGGCTTGGCTAGTATGTCTGGGCTTGGCACCTTGCTCCTGCAGCCACGAGACGCTCTTGCTGCAAACTCCAGCAGCTCAGCGAGGGCAGACCTGGCCGGCGTCCCACACGCGGCACGGCGGATTCTCCCTCCCCTGGCAGTGTGGCCACCACCCGTGAT